GTTTCTATTGACATAGCATACTTATGAGCTTAGCCAAAGCCCTCCCACTCATCTAGATCATTGATTCATCATCATAGTGAGATTGGGAGTGAATCCAAGTGCATTGCTTGAGTGATTGCATCTAGAGGCACTTGGTGATTGTGTTTCGCTGTGAATTTCGCTTGTTACTCTTGGTGGTTGCCGCCACCTAGACGGCTTAGAGTAGCAAGGATCGTTGAGTGGAGGAGGTGATTGTCTCCGACTCCGATCGTGGTGATTGTGAGGGGTTCTTGACCTTTCCCCGGCGGAGCGCCAAAAGGTACTCTAGTAAATTGCTTGTGGCTTGTGTGATCCTCATCTTGTGTTGGTTGTGCGGCACCCTATTGAGGGTTTGGCGAATGATGCCAATCAGCGCGTGAACCTCCAAGTGAGTGAATCGCCACAACGAGGACTAGCTTGCCGGCAAGCAAGTGAACCTCGGTAAAAATCATTGTGTTCATCATTTGATTCCGAGGTGATTGGTCTACATTGGTATTCATTATTGTGATTGATTGGTTCCTACCACTACACGGCGGTATAACTCTCTTGCTCACTCTTACATTACCGCAAACTAGTTATCAAGCTCTTTAGTATAGCTAGTTGTGAGAGCTTGTTTTTTTGATTAGTGTTGCTCTTTAGTTAGTCTTTGAGAGCACACTAATTTAGCTAAGTGTCATAGCTATTGTGTGGACATACACTATTCGAAATAGAATTGTGGTAGGTGGCTTGTATTTTAGTAGGCTAGCGCAACACTCGCTTCGCCGCAAAATTGTCAAACACATTTTGTTAAGTGTTGTTGTAGAATTTTATTAGGCTATTCACCCCCCTCTAGCCATTAGGACCTTTCAGTATGCGACCCCGATCTCACCCCATCTAGCTATGCTTCCGACTGCGCTCCAAACACCTGTGTCTGTGACCCCGATCTCACCCCATCCGGCTAAGCTTCTGACTGCGCTCCAAGCACCTGGGTCCGCGACCCCGATCTCACATCGCGACTCCGACTCACCCGATCCCACGGCGCGCACCGACGCCAGGATCAGTAAGCTCTGTCTCGACCAAACTAACTACCTCACCCGATCCCACGGCGCGCACCGACGCCGGGATCCGCGAGCTCCCTCTCACCCAATCTCTCGAGCGACTAAAACACCTTGGCTGCACAACGACGCCCTGGTTAGAACAAACTCCATCTCAAACTAAAAACACGCACACACTCCCAACACCTCCTAGACAGTTCTACCCGAACCGCCCGGGGGCTCGGGGGCTACACCCGCGGGTGCGCTCGTACGCACCCGCCGATAAAACGAAAACCTCCCCCACTGACAGCATAGGAAAACCCCCCTAGACGATTCTGCCTGAACCACCCGGGGGCTCAGGGGCTACACCCGCAGGTGCGCTCGCACACACCCGTCGGCAAGACAAAAATCCCTCGGACGATTCTGCCCGAATCACCCGGAGGCTCGGGGGCTCCTGTCGGGTTCATAAACCTGGGGTCCCTTATGGACCGGCTTCCACGCCGGGGCTCGACCCAAACAGGCAGCACACAACTCATGGGCCGGCCCAAGAGTCTAAAACAATGGGCCGAAAGGGCGGTCCAGTCACTGACCGAAAGGTCTGGACGAAGAGGAACGACGCTCGCTCGTCAACTACTTCGGCCCCACCTCTCTGACCGGAGCGCTCACTCCAGGCTCCAGCCGCCTCCGGATGGCCTCTCCGATCGGAAGGCCGGGCCCAAAGCGCTACTTCCGACTCTGACCCCGCATCGCCGACCGGGGGCACAGAAACCCTGCTCACTTCTCTTCTCCGACTGGCGTGGCCAGAACCGACTGGGGCCATCCGACCGGGGACGCTCGCTCGGAAGGAGCCAGGGGCGAACGGAGAAAGCAAGCCAGGGCGCGTAAGTCAAACCACAATACCAGGGACCATACCCTGTACACCTACAGAAACAGTACTCTACAACCACCCTGACACAAACAGTATTGTAGGCGCCGTTAAAACTCCCGTACGGTAAGGCCCCCAACGTGCCTCCGGGTACCGATAGTGTTGTGGGCGCTAGGATTTACCATATGGGGTGAACGTGGTGACACTCCTCACATGCCTCTAGGCATCAAACAGTATCTACAGGGACCGACGTCCACCATTCCTGAAGAAGGCAAACACAACCTCACACATGCATCTGACATTCTACAGTAACATCAACAGTGTTGTAGGCGCCTACCATTATCTTGTACCCATCGGCATGGGCAGCGACGCTCAGTAGCATACGTACCCTCACTTGTAAAGCCATCCCCTTTATCTATAAAAGGGGATGCGCTCCCTCCAACAAAAGAGAGGCTTTTTTCTCTCTGAGGCCCCCTTTGAAGAGCCTTTCTCAGATTCATTAGGTCAACCAAGTTCTCTAGTCCACAACCACAGAACCACCAGGTTCGGACCTCAAGCATACAAGCTCATAGCGTAGCTCCTGTTGCTCCTGGCCCTTCGGACTGGAGCCGACCGGACCTCTTGTACACCCCATCTTTCTCGTTCTCGTTTGTAACCCCACTGCAAACTTCGAGCACCTGGGCTCAAGAATAAAGTTACTGACCGACCCAAACTGGACGTAGGGCACGTTGTCTGAACCAGTATAAACCCTGTGTAATTGAGTGCTAGGCCACATCCGATCACAACGTACGGCAAATCTATAAATATTTACTAGTTGGTCACATTTTGCACCGACAACACCTGTCGTGGCTCTAAGAGCGGCTTCGATGTTTGTACTAAGGAGGTGCATACAACTATACAAGATAGAGAAATGAGTAAGATATGTCGATATATTGGAGCAATGGTGCAAGCTTAGCATCGCTGAAACCAGTTGCTTATTTGAGCACAGGTATAAAGAATAAAAAAATGAACGAAACAAACGTGAGTATTTAGTTGGGGAAAGCTAAGAAGATGTATATTTTTATTATATGTTGAGTCCACTTTAGGGTCTGTTTGGTTTAGCTCTGGACTAGGGAAAAATTATTGTGAACTATATACTGTAAAAAGTTGTAAGTTGTTTTATTGAATCAACTATAAAATCTACCACCCTCTGTATATCTCTTGAAACAACCATGAAACATCTCACCATTTCTATGACTTATGCTGATGCTTATGCTGATTTATTGTGAAAGAAAAATGTTGTTCGTTCGCTGAAAAGTACTGGCTAAAGTAGATCAAGCGAATAGAGCCTAGTCTAAGGTGCTAAACGCCTTCTAGAAAAACAGCTTCATGTTCTACTTGTTTGATTAGCATTATGCTTTTTAGCAACAAAAAAAAACACATATCACAACTTGAACCAAACACAACTACAATATATGCTATCAAGTTTATACATTAGAATATTTGCTAGTAGAACAATATGTGATATATTCCAGCTTGACCCTTGCTAAGAAAATAAACATTGGAGCTTTTTTTTAGGGAAATAAACATTTTAGGGAAATAAACATTGGAGCTACCCTAAGCCTGCCGACTGCCGATTTGAATGTACTTCGTAGTAATAAAAGAAAAAAAGGCCCAGTTGCATTTGATTGGGCTGTCATGATAGCTGTAGCTAGGCCGAATTCTGGACCTGAATAAACACGATTTCAGCACGTCCGGGTTTAGCGGCGAAAACAAGAGGAACAGGTGACACCGAAATAAAGGAAAAGGTCCACATTATCTCCATCAACTTTCACGAAAGTTCGTTTTTTCTTTCTGAACTTCAAAACCGGATAAAACGTCTCCCTCAACTTTTAAAATCGTTCATCTTACCTCCCTAGCCCGGTTATAAACGATTTTAAAGACGGTTTTGTCTTTTTATTTTTTATTTATTTCGGCTGAATTTTTGAAAAATCATAGTAAATCATAGAAAAATCATAAAATAGAAAATCCAATCTCATTGGACTCCACGTGAATAGATCTACACAGTGAACATATAATATGGTATGCTTTAGTACAAAGTTTTTGCTGTAGCTTTAGATCTATGTTTTTCTGTAATTAAATGAAATAATTCATAACTGCAGTTTCTATGGTCCAATTATGGTAAAATTTTTATTGTGAGCTAATTATTGTATGCTTAAATTGTAGTAAAAATTTCGTACTCATTGGATCATGTATAACTTAAATAAAATATATAACTAAGTTATACATGATCCAATGAGTATGAAATTTTTACTACAGTTCAATCATACAATAATTAGCCCACTATAAAATTTTTATCACAATTAGACCATAAAAACTGCAGCTATGAATTATTCTAATTAATTACAGAAAATCATAGATCTAAAGCCACAACAAAAACTTTATACTAAAGCAAACCATATTATATGTTCACTGTGTAGATCTACTCACGTGGAGTCCAACAAAATTGGATTTCTTATTTTATGATTTTTCTATGATTTACTATGATTTTTTAAAGATTCAGCCAAAATAAATAAATAAGAAAAGAACAAAACCGTCTTCAAAACTGCTTATAATAGGGCGGGGAGGTAAGATGAACAGTTTATGGAGTTGTTTTGCCCGGTTTTAGAGTTTAGGGAGGAAAAACGGATTTTCGCGAAAATTGAGAGGATAATGTGGACTTTTTCCCCGAAATAAACGCAACAAGCCTTATGACAACTGGCCCCACTCGTTGATGGTCCCACATTCCATGCGCGCGGGCTGGCTGAGCCACCGGTAGCACCCGGTAGCCGTAACTGTCCCGGGTGCGGGTGCGGGTGCGGTGCGGGTGCGCGGGCGAGACGAGGCGAGCAGATGCAGACCAAGCGGGTGGTTCGTTGGCTTGGCGTGGCGCCGGCAATTCAAGGCCAATCGAATCCGTCGCTCGCGTTATCTTCCTCGACTTGTCAGTTGTCGCCTCCTCCCCTTCCCATCCCCACAGCGCAGCTCAGCAGTCAGTCAGCAGTCGCCCCCCACACGCCTCCGCTCCGCCCACGCTTCCCCACCGGCTCTCCGATCTCCAGGGCTCCGCGGCTGAGGCGCCGGCGATGGCGGCTCCCGTGGTCGACGCCGAGTACCTGCGCCAGGTTGACAGGGCGCGCCGCCACCTCCGCGCCCTCATCTCCAACAAGGGATGCGCCCCGATCATGCTCCGCCTCGCGTACGTGCGCCAATCACTCACCTCCTCGCGCACTCGTATACTCCCCCGGACCCCCCAACTACTGCTGATTTTTTTTTTCGCGGCCCTGTTGCCTCTGATTGGCATGGGGATTCCTGAGCTGTTGAACCCTTGCTGACTTAGTAGCCTATTCTGTGGCGTGCTTGCTTGCTGCTCTCTCGTGCTTCACGGTTGAGCTCACTGGCCTGGTTCCGTGCCTAGTCGTGGCTTCGTCTGATTTGGTTTGGCTTTTTGGCGAGGCAATTTGTCGAGCACCTTGCCTGCGTGTGCGTGTGCGTGTGCGTTCGCGTGCCCTAGCGTTAAGCGCATCCTAATCTTAGTTTCCTTGCCGCGGCTGTCGCACTGACAACCGAAGAGTAGGGGGTGATGAATTTCGAGTTAATTTCACATCTGGTTCCGTTGAATAATCTTGTTAGAATTGCTAAGATAGAGCCCTCAGTCAAATCACAACCATAGCTCAATCAGTTTACTACAGTAGCGCTGCCACTGTAACAACCGTGTTTCTCAGGGTTTGGTTTCTGCAGTGCCTCCTAAAATTCCTGTCACATCGAATGTTTGGACATATGCATAGAGTATTAAATATAGACTAATTACGAAACTAATTGCACAACTTGCGACTAGTTTGCGAGACGAATCTTTTAAGCCTAATTAGTTCATGATTTGACAACGTGGGGCTACAGTAAACATGTGCTAATGGTAGATTAATTAGGCTTAAAAAATCGTCTCGCAAATTAGCCTCCATCTATGTAATTGGTTTTGTAATTAATCTATATTTAATGCTCTTTATTAGTATCTAAACATTCGATGTGACATGAATTTTAGGAACGACAAAAAAACCAAACACCCCCTCAATTCCATAGAGTGATCACGGAAACCTCAGACAGGATACCTGCTCTAGCTCAACTGGGATTACCTTTACTTTACTCTTGTCATTATGTGGACTGTGGAATTGCTGAGAGGTGGGTAGGGTACATCTGTATTCCTGTATGAGTTAGGACTTAGGAGAAAGTATTTTATTCACTAATAGAAGAAAGTATATGGTGCTCACTTAGTAACAGCTTATGAGAAGCTCCAGTAGAGCACAATTTTGTAGAGGGCCACTCCAACTGATATGGCGACTAGTTTACACTTTGGAGTTCCCGTTTTGTATTTTTAGATACATTGGGTTCCTCTTTATGCCGCTGATCTGATAACCAGTTAAACCACACCAATTTGGCCTCCATTTTCTGTAGGATTCATCCAGGAATGTATTCTGCTTAATATGGATTGAGCTTACACCATTCTTCCTGTCATTCAAACACTGAAGATTTCTTTGCTCTCCCTTGCAGATGGCATGATGCTGGAACTTATGACGTGAACACAAAAACCGGTGGAGCAAATGGTTCGATTAGATATGAGGAAGAGTACACCCATGGTTCAAATGCTGGTTTAAAGATTGCTATCGATATCCTTGGTATGCATTGTTTATACTCAATACTTACTGGATGCCTATGCAAGAGTATTATTATTATATCAACCTATAAACTAAGTATGATCTACTTGAATGAGGATTTCGAAGAAATCAATTTGCACCTTTTTTTCTAGTTTCTTTCTGATAAACTGGAACTCCTTTTCTGTGGCTGTGGGTTTTCTGCTATCTTCAAGGTCAGATAACAAAATATTGGATTTTCATGTCAATTATTCTGGGATGATAAATTGAGAAAATTATATAGTATGCTTTTAGCTGCTTAGAGAAGAAGTCCTCCCATAAACATCTACTTGGTCAGAACTATTAGTTTGTAGGTCTATGACCTGTCATTCAGACATGTAGTTAGATTATGTACTCATGACAATGGTCACCTGTATTATACTTATATAAAGCCTTAAATCTAAAATCACAAGGTGTCTTAGTCAGAGCAACTGCAGTTTATGAGAATGCTACTTTATTTGTTTGTAAATCGTACTCCATGTGGAATGATGGTGATTTGTATTTCTTGTTTCCTTCTGTATTTCTTCGCTGCTGAAATAAATGAAATCATTACTATTTCTTATTCAGTTGTCTTTTGTTTTCCTCTAGAGCCTATCAAAGCAAAGAATCCAAAGATAACATATGCAGACCTTTATCAGGTAATTTGGGATCACCTTAAATTTGCTCTTCTATAGGATGTCCGGATTTTTTAACCCTGTTGTGATTGGGCTTTTTTATCCTGTTGGCCTGTTGGGAAGGGTGAAACTCTGAATTCAGTATAAATACTAACCTGCTAGGAATTTATAAACAGCTTGCTGGAGTGGTTGCAGTTGAAGTAACCGGGGGGCCAACTGTTGAGTTTGTTCCTGGCAGACGTGTATGTAAAAAAAACTCCTTCATGTTTGGATTCACCTTTCCTGATGTTCACTCTTTAACTGGTTGACATTAATCAGGATTCGTCAGTGTGCCCCCGTGAAGGTCGTCTGCCGGATGCTAAGAAAGGTATTTACTACCTTGGGCTATACTTGTGTGGTGGTTAACGTGATTATTCTGGAAGTTTGAGAGGGAGAGACGGAAGGATGGTACTTGTGTAATTTATGTGTGAAACCTTCTTGTTTTTTTGAACGTAGTAAAACCTCTTCTTGTTGCTTCTCAGCATCAAACTTCTATGCGTATCTGGCCTCTATGGTTGCTGCATGGATTTCTTACCTGAAGTTTTGTTAAACAACATAGATATCATTTTCTATTAGGAGCTGTTCCTGCATTTCTCCATATAACTAGTACTATATGCAACATGTGTCTGTATCCAGCTTTGGTAATTTTTATCCTGATGGTTTGCTGTTATTCTGTACTTATTATTTGATCATATCATATCTGTTGCTAATGTACATCTCTTGGTTTTTTGGCTTCTTTGCATGAATAGGTGCACCACATCTGAGGGACATCTTTTATCGAATGGGCTTATCTGACAAAGATATTGTAGCTCTGTCAGGGGGGCATACTCTGGTAAATTGTTATAGTCTCTGAAGGAGTACTAATTTGTTCATAAGCTGATCTTAATACCTTTGTTCTTTTAGGGAAGGGCTCATCCTGAGAGGTCTGGATTCGAAGGTGCCTGGACAAAGGAGCCTCTTAAGTTTGATAACTCTTACTTTCTGTGAGTTGAACTTAAAGTCAGAATTTCTACTTGGTTTGAAGACTAGATTCCATACGGTTAACGAGTGTGTTGTCGATTAATTTATTATGTTACTGCAGTGAGCTGTTGAGTGAGGAATCTGAGGGGCTTTTAAAGCTCCCAACTGATAAGGCACTGTTATCAGATCCTGAGTTTAGGCGCTATGTGGAGCTTTATGCAAAGGTGAATAGGACTTTATAAGTTATCCTTATGCACAGCACACTTTAGCACCTTGTTTGGTTATACAAGCTTCAGATCCACTGATTCAGAACCATGTCTTTGTTCATGCCGCAGGATGAAGATGCCTTCTTCAAGGACTACGCTGAATCACACAAGAAACTCTCTGAGCTTGGCTTCACGCCTCGCAGCACAGCATCAGCCAAATCAGACCTTCCAACCGGTGCTGTGCTTGCACAGAGTGCCTTTGGGGTAGCGGTTGCTGCAGCCGTAGTTATTGCTGGCTACTTGTACGAGGCTTCCAAGAAGGCCAAGTAGATGGCAAAGTTCTTCGCCACATGGTTATGGGTTGTTTTAGTAAGTATGGAGATTGAATAACAGGATCATAGAAATGAGGTACTCGGAAAATGTTTCGTAAACCTTGCGAACAGAACTTCCCCTTCATGTTTACACTGGATTCATGAGTCACAATGATATGGAGATGGCATAGCCTACTATTGAAAGTATCGCCCTGTTCGCTTGTCTTAGCTTGTTTTTTTCAGCCGGAACAGTGTTTTTCTCTTCCAACAAATCAGTCGGAACAGTGTTTCAGCTTTTTCAGCGAAGCGAACGGGGCCGCAGATCTATGCATCGGTTGCACTTCGAACTTATGTGGAAATTGACAGTGATGTGTCGACATAGGAATTGCGTTTTGGCTCTGTCGCATTTTCGTGGTTGAGGCATACCGCGTAGAAAATGGTTTTATTTTTTTTAATGTTTAAATGGTTTTAACTAAACCCCATGACCACGTAGAGGGAGTGTCCTTGCGAGAATCTTCTATAGCAGTTAGTGTTGGTGAAGCAGGAAGACGCGGAACCGAACCGAATCAAAACGGAGTGAAAGCAGGAAGATGCGGTGAGTGGATCATATGAGAAATCGAAAGCGTTTGTGTGAAGACCGAAGACGCTGCCCACCCCCGGCTGTAACGGATTTTAGCAGGCAGCACCTGGCCGTTTCAGAGCTGCAAATTCACAAGCAGCAAATCCGCCGCAAACGGCCACGGGCATCATCGGACAGCGACCAGTGCGGAGCATTTGGTACGCATAGACTAACCAAAGGCGGATTGGATTAACATGCCTGGAAGGAAGGAAGGATATATTTCTGGAGCATAAACAAAACCAAGCAAGACGTAAACTGTCACGCACGCACGCCGTATACACCACGTCGAGAAGGCTGCCCGTGTTTTATACACTTGGAGTACCGGTCGCATGATGCAAACCGAAAGGGAGGTACGCAGCTGATAATACAAACTAGTACCGTGTGTGTCGTGTATGATATCCGACGATTTGTTCCGTCCACCGTAAACTACTAGCCGCAAGCATGCGGAGTTGGTTTGGGAGTGGGTGCACCAACGACGACACCCGACACGTGCGAATGAGGGCAACGTCCCGCTGCAGTATTCCCCCATTATAAACAGATGATGACGCTGGAGTTCACCAACCTGATCAGTGTCTGTCTACCATTCCAAACATCCGGACGTGCCTACCTGGATCAACCTGAAACTGGCGGCGATATATATGCTGCTAGCTGGCAGCTCTCTAAAGTAGTACATCTGTACATACATAAATATATCCAGTCACGTTTGTGTACGTTGACTTTCCGGATTAGGCTCTGTTTGTAATAAACCACCTAAAAGCATAGCCTCCAGTATTAGATTAGGATGCAAGGTCAAGGACGGCAAACAGACAAAAGGCACACGTTTAGTTAGTGTGAGGAGGGACACAGAGAGAGAGAGAGAGAGAGATGACGACACTGACACGGACCCCCCCAGTTCACCGCGCCCGGCGCGCATCAACTTTGTTGTATCGTGCACTGCCCGTGGCACGACGACCACCTAACTCTTGAAAATTCCATCACCAGGAATACAAATCGTGAGGCTGAATTCACGGTCATTGCTTGGAAATCGGAATGCGTGGATGATGAATGCACACTGAACTGCCGGCTGGCTGTTTGGAGTTTGAAGCTAGCCACGGTTGAGGCGAGGACCAGACGTCCAGACCTACCACCAGTTTGAATTCTTCTTATAACATTGATGATAGCTTCGCCCCTGCCTACCACCACGCATGAAACCATCACCCAGAATGTGTTTGGTAGGCAGTAGGATCGGACGGCACATGGCAGGGCGATGGTAAGTAGTAGTTTGGACTTTGGAGCGTTGCGGGGACCGGCCGGGCAGCCGACCGATCTGATTCATCGGCGTCGACTTGTCGCCATCGTCTCGTCGCTGACGGTGCAAGCACTGCAGGGCGATCGAAATGGCTCCTCTCATCGATCAACGATGTGCTTGGTAGGTGCTAACGTACGGCAATGCGAAAAAAGATTGAGACGATTCGGTCCATTATTTGTTTGGTTGGTACACTGATCATTTGCGCAGGTTTGTGCAAATCCAGTTCAAGGTTTTCGTCGGGCCGTGTGTGTTAGTTTCTCCTAACGAGACAGGCAGACAGGACCTGACCGGTACGGCATGGTGCACCTATTTTGTACCACCTCCGTCAAAAAAAAAAGTACAATTCTCGAATTTTTAAGAGTCAAACAGCACCTATTTATGTACCGCCTCCGTCCACCAAAAATGCAATTCTCAAATTTCCAAGAGTCAAACAACCTGAGTTTTGACTAAATTTATATAAAAAGTACAAACATTTGTCATACAAAATAAGTGTCATTAGATTAATTATATAATATACTTTTATAATAAATTAATCTTAAGACATAAATGTTAATATTATTTACTATAAATGGTTAAACTTAAGCTTGATTGACGGGTTGCATTCTTTTGGAACGAAGGGAGTAATATTTTTTTTAGCAAACGGAGCGAGTAGTATTATATAGGCGAGTTGTAATACAACCTACGTCTTGTTGTATGTTTTTTTTATGAAACTAGAGCGGCTGAAGCCCAGTATAGACTGAAATTGGACTCCATACCATTGTTACATAAACGTGTGCGTTTCTAACTTATATGGGCATGGATTGTGAGTTCAGCATAGCGCATTTTTTATATAGGTGAGTTATGGACGCAACCTACGTCTTTAATATTAAAGTATATGTATTTTTTATATATACAACACTAGAGCGGCTGGAGCCTAGATAGTATAGACTTGAAATAGATATGATGACTCCATACCATTGTTATATAAAATAGATTGAATTATATTAATAACTTTGGTTTCATTTCATCTATATATATATATATTAAATTATATATAATCTTGAAAAAATTGTAAATTTCTTTTTTTATGTGTTTAATAGTCTTTCTTTGGTTTCATTACATCTACCAACAAAGACACCGTGTATAGTCCTGTCCTTGAGTAGTCAAAACGCACAACAATTCCATAAAAACAAGGTGCTGCGTGTTCCGTTCCTAGATACATATATATGGGCATGGATTGAAGAGTTCAGTAGAATTTCCGTGAGCTGCACAACAAGGAGATCAAAAGAGTAACCAGCGTATGCTGCAACAAGAATTCCAGTTCTACTTTGACACATTGAAGCCCAAAACAGCCTCTGCCTCTATTTTGGCCTACCCAAAAACAACATTTTTTTTTTTGCGTGGAAGTTTGCAGGCAGATCAAAAGAGTAAGGCAGATCAGCATAGCTTTTTATCTGCACCAGCACGTTGTTGCGCAACGAAGACCTGGAAGACTAGAATTTTTTTTTTTGATAGAATGAAAGACTAGAATTAGCGCGTGGAATTAAGGAGGCCAGGGTTTGGTGAAACCCCCGTAATAACGAACGAAAAGAGAGAAAGGATTCGCCGGATCGGATCGGAGCGCCTTTTTAAAATTGGGCGCTGACCAAAATTAACAGATGATCAACCTAGTCACCTTCCACATGCATGTGCCACAGTATTGCCAGTTTAGAAACTCGAATTCAAAGTCTGATTTGCTTATATAACATATAATTATTACAGCCACTGCACCTAGCAACGTTTATAACGCCTGCGACAGCACTATCCCATCCGTGACAGCCTGACAGGGCAAATCAAAGCGATCGACTAATCGCTGGTGAGATCAGGTGTATATCAATCAACCACGTGTTTGTAGCCCGTGCTAAACGCGGGTCGGGTCGTCGGGCCGTTTCCGTCCCGTCCCGTCCCGTCAACCCACACCGCCAGGCGCCCAGGCCCAGCAACCCAACCCAACGCTGCCCACCCACCAACTTCCTTTCCTTCCCCCTCATATCCCATTTCTCGCCGCTGCCAACCAACCGCCTATAAAACCCCGCGCCCCCGCCCACCCGCCGCCTGACTTCTCCAATCCAATCGCGGAGCTCGCTCCCCTGCCGTGCCGTGCCCAGCCCAGCCGCCACCCGCCGCCCGCCGCTCCCGCTCCCGTTCCGGGTTCCGACACAGCAAAGCCAAAGCCAAAGCGAAGCAGTAAGCAGATCGATGGGGCGGTCGCCGTGCTGCGAGAAGGCGCACACGAACAAGGGCGCGTGGACCAAGGAGGAGGACGACCGCCTGGTGGCCTACATCCGCGCGCACGGCGAAGGGTGCTGGCGGTCCCTGCCCAAGGCGGCGGGCCTGCTGCGCTGCGGCAAGAGCTGCCGCCTCCGCTGGATCAACTACCTCCGCCCCGACCTCAAGCGCGGCAACTTCACCGCCGACGAGGACGACCTCATCATCAAGCTGCACAGCCTCCTCGGGAACAAGTACGTGCCGCCTCTGCTCCGTACTCTCACTGGCTTCATCAGCGCCACCCAACCAAGCTGAAGATCCTATCAATCAATTGCCTGCAGGTGGTCGCTCATCGCCGCGCGGCTCCCGGGGCGGACGGACAACGAGATCAAGAACTACTGGAACACGCACATCCGGCGGAAGCTGCTTGGCAGGGGCATCGACCCCGTCACGCACCGCCCCATCGCCGACGCGGGCGCCGGCGCCGTCACCACCATCTCGTTCCAGCCCAACCCCAACGCCGCCGCCGCAGCAGCGCAGGCGCCACAGCATCAGCCGATCAAGGCGGAGGCGACGGCCGTCAAAGCTCCCAGGTGCCCCGACCTCAACCTCGACCTCTGCATCAGCCCGCCGTGCCAACAGCAGGAGGAGGACGACGAGGAAGACGAGGAGCTGGACCTCAAGCCCGCCGTCGTCGTCAAGCGGGAGGTGCTGCAGGCCGGCCACGGCGGGGGCCTCTGCTTCGGGTGCAGCCTGGGCATCCAGAAGGGCGCGCCAGGGTGCAGCTGCAGCAGCAGCAACAGGCACCACTTCTTGGGGCTCAGGGCCGGCATGCTAGACTTCAGAGGCCTCGAGATGAAGTGAAGTGAAAGCCCATACATACGCT